AGGTTTGAAGTAATCTATTTTTTAAATGTATTAAACAAAATATATATGGCTTTATTATACAGCGTATTTCTGTCATTTCTGTGTTCAATTAGCTTCAAACTGGATATAAATCAATTGTCCTTGATCATTTTATTTAGTTGTAAATATTAAAAGTACTTTTGAGAATTGGGTTTCTCTGACATACATCCTGCCTGGTCTGAGTTCACACATTTTTATTTGAAGCTGGTCACCAACAGGAAACCAGTTGTGCCTCTGTGCACAGAGTGTGCAAAGAGGCCTGTTTGCATTTAGCCTGTGCCATTTGCATCTTGGTAAAGTAGAGGAGTTTATCTGAAAGCTGCTGGCTGAGTTGACAGAAAGTGAACAGAGAGGAAAGAACTTAAAGAAGTCCAGACGCTTTTCTTTCCAAGCTCCTTAGACTACGATGACCTGGATGACTGAGAACCTTCACAGACAAACAGAGAGGAAACACGAAGCTACATTTGGACTGTGGGTGGTGCTATTAGGAGTTTCTTATGTTTAGCTCTGTTTAATTATTTAAAATATGCAATAGCTCTGTTATCAAGTACAGTCACTGAGTAGCTAACTCAGTTACTTTTTTGAAGAAGTAACTAGTAACTAATGCCACAACGACCAAAGGAATAACATCCTTTGTGTTAAGTTCTGCAACTTAAAGCTTCACCTATGCTTGTAAAACTTTAAACAAAAATAATTCATTGCAATTCTTGGTACATTTTGATGTACCACTGACTGTAACTATAATTGTGGCTGATGTAGCTGCAGCAGTTCAGCAGGGATAAAACTGAGAGATATCTGCTTAGTTTTGTGAGCAGCAAACAGCAGGAAAGCAAGACCTTTACCCCAGTGTCTTTCAGTCTCAAGGCAGTATTTGTGCATCATGGCCTTTAAAGTTTGATGCCAGATGTTTGTTTGAGGCTAGAGATTTTATATTCGAAATACCTAAAGATTGCAGATCCACACAATCAACAATTACACACTCTAAAGACTCACCAAGCGCAAAATGATAGGAACAGGTTGCACAAAGTGGTTACACTTACCAGCAATTTGACAAGTGCTACAGGTTTAGCTACATCAGTTTTAAGACCCAGCCAGAAAAAATGTTCCCAGCACTCAGCCAATGATGGAGGATGCAGTCATGTTTTTTTAACTTCTAAATGACCAGACTGTGAATGTTTGTGGGCTAGCTGCAACACACCTTGGCTGTACCCCTTGGGAACTACCATCTGCCATACCACACCCTAGTCCTCATCTTGATTTTCCTGCTTTAACTTAGGCCCATTTGTGCATAAACAGGTCATCTTTCAAGAAGATGCCTTTTTTCTCACTTGTTGTTTCTGTTACTTCTATAAAACATTTAGCAAGTGTAGCATCAGCTTTCTTGGCTTTCCTCGGGGATCCATTGACATAAGTAATTAATGGAAGACTTACAGATGTAGCATTAACTGTGTTCTGATCACAGGCTGTGGACTCTGAAGGGCTGACTGGGGATAATTTATCCTCTGTCAGGTAAAGAGAGAAGCCCTTAACTTTTCTCTGACAGTGTTAGTGAGCTCACTGTGTGTTTATAATTTTAGAGATAACTTAGATAACTGCTTGAAGAAAGCTTGAATAAATTAGTGCACTAACTGTGGTCTGCCAAGTGATGCACAGCACTTCAGAAATATCTAGACACCAATTAAATACATTTGCTCTAAGTTTTTTTCACTTTTTTTCCAAGTGACCATGATAACATGAGAAACTTAAGTTAGCTTGAGAACAGGAACATTACAGTGAAAAAGCATGCTTAGAAAATTGTGAATAGCACAGTGTGGCTGCACACATTTTATCAGCTTGTACATTATGTGTACTTCCTTTGCATTGCTGTGAACATTATGACAAGCATCTTCAGTAACAGAACATCGTGAAACTCAAGTCTTTAACTAAACAGAATGACATTGTGATGGGATCTGACACTGATTGTAATACATCTCAGTGCATCTGACCACTGTGAAGCCATCATATACAAACGGGTCAGTACAAGAAGTCAACACAAAAGAGCTGAAAAAATGTTAACCCTTTAAAAACTGAACCATGAGATAAGTGCCAGAAAATTCTAATTGTTTGAAAGTTGAGAGTTTCAATTGCTTAAAAGTGTATTGTGCAATTTAGTTAGGGGTTTCACAGGAAAAAAATCACACAGATGATATAGAATTTTAGAAAAAACTAAAAAAAACCATGTATGTATCAAATATGATATACTAGGCAATAAGGGGTTCTCAGATTGATGACAGAATAATATCAATATTATTATTATCACTATGTTAACCAGTGTAAAAATGCCCAAATATAATTTAGCATGGACAGAGGGCATGGACAAAAGAAAAAAAAAAGAATCTCACATAACTAATTGCTGTCAGTGTTCATGGAAACAAAGGTGTAACTAGGCAATGAAAGGTTTGAAGCAGTATTATTATTCTGTTCCAGGAGAGAGTGCCATTAAATGAAAGAACAGTTGACATTGTGTTATTCCTTCAACATTCAGGTTTTAAAATGAAATCATAAGAACTGAAATCCAACTTCATTGCAGTTGTTACAGTTTATGGGTGACGTATTTTGGTGGATTATAAGTCTTGTTAAGATTTGTACAGTTATACCTCACATGCTAAAAATCTGAAATGACCCCTTGTTAAGCTTTAAAGATGAATGAATGAACCATTATTTAATTTTAAGAATACATTTTAGAACTGTATATTTTATTCAGTAATCTTAGATTTTAAACATGGAATTAACTGCTATACTACACAGTGTGTGTAAACACAAAATGTGCTGGTTGACCTGTTAGTCACAGGTTAGACATGTATTTTTTTTTTTACAGTGTTTATAGATGAATAGATTATTTTTTATGGGCCGATTTATATTTTAGGCATGCTCAAAACATCACTTAGTAATAAATAATAAATGCTTCCCCACCCTTCCTCGCAATCCATCACGCATGAATCTTTTTTCTTGAAAGCTAAAAGAGGAAGGAAAACCGACACCACTTCCTTTTATCCCCTCAGTGCATCAATATACAAGTACAACTTCAAAACCGGACGTCAATGTTTTCACTCGCCTCTGAGGCTGCTTACTAACACATTGGAGTCCGTTCAGAGCACCACACCCACCTTTGTTTTTGATGGAAAAGCTGCTGACTTGATCAACACAGGCTGAACAGACATGGAAGCTGCAGTTGGACTGTTGCTGGTGTTGCTTAGAGTCTCTCATGGTGAGTAACTTATTTTTGTCATGTCATCTCTACTTATTAATTTCATAATCAATAATATGTTTCCAGCCATGATTAAAAAGGAGAGAGAGAAGAAAAAGCTATATTTAGCTAAAGATATTTTGTTCAACATATGTTGAACACAC